CGATTTTACCATCCCTAGTTCATCTCGATTGGTTGAAAGCCGATTTTCTTTCCAATGCGCATGTTCAGCGTTAAACTCCGCGTTTGTTGCGCGTTGACAACTGATCGGTCTAAAAAGGTTAGATTTTGCGTGATCTTTATATCTTAATCTAAGTTGATCCATGGGCGAGTCAACATCTAGATTGGATGAGCCCTGGTTCAGCGTTTGATTAATTAGACTTTCTGAATCTAGTTCAATTAGACTCGAACTAGATAGAGCCCTGTTAGAAAACTGGGCCAGGCTTGGCCCTTGACTGGGCCTGTCTAGCGCCTTGATTGGGCCAGGTTTAGGGTCGTCTAAGTACTGGCAAGATAATTTGCCAGGATTTGGCCAGTCACTGGTCAACCTCTTTTTTATAGTCCCAGTCGATGGGTCTAATATCCCTGGTTTTGAAAAGGCCGAATTGCCTTCTAAAAATTAACTGGTTGGGGGTTTGATTATATGTGGTCGACTAGGAGTTAACAGGTTCGCGTCTGATTGACTTTCAGAAATATTCCTTGTAGCGTTATCTATTTTCGCGATTACACTATCAGAATATTTTGGCAATGAAAAATCAAATTTTGGTTTTTCAATCGTTGTCGTCATTATCCCCGGTTTATAGAATTGAAATAACTCTAATGGGGGTGTCACATGAAGTGTTAGCCCTAATGGGCCCGGTGTTTCCGAAACTCGCGAAAAAGTGACCGAGTTCGCAACTGACGATCCAACTGTTAAGTAAAAATGAATTGAACTAGTCTTTGATACTGTCGGAAAAAGTGTATTTTGTGAAGACGGCAATGCAGCTAAAAAGCCTACTGCATTATTCTCGGAAATCGGGACCTCGCGTCTATTTTCAACTAAATTCGAATTCGTATTTACCTCAGAACTAATTCCCGGGGGGCTTAATTGAAGTTGAATTTCATCGGAGGGTAACCACTCGACTAAATTATCTCCGGTAGAAAGGCGCATAAAACGCGATGCGCGATCTCGAAGTATTTCAAGGGTTCCGTGTTAATTAATTTTAAAAGAATCTAAATAGAATATTAATTGGTCGCGAGACCAATTGTCAAATAAATTTGACCCATGGTTAATCGGTGAAGCCATTTTTAGAAAATTTTAACAAATGATTTATGGAATTATTCTTTATCGTTCGGTAAGGATTTGAGAAAGGATGATCGTTCGCGACGCTCTGTCAGAAAGTTTGGACCACACTTTTAAAATTTAAATGTCCCAAATCAATAAAATTTTAGTCAATTTTCATTGCTGAAGTTTCACAAAATTTTACTCTTAAGTGATTTTGTATTTTTAAATGAATACAATAAGACAGCCGATAATTTAATTATTTTTACTTTACAATGAAAATAACAAAAAAAATAAAATTTTATTGATAATAAACTCGTCCGACACTGTGAAGCTTTTGAACTAATCCGGGAAAATATTTCAAGGAATTGTAAAAAAACATTATAAAAAAAATTAAGTCAGTTGAATAATTATTTCATCACAATAGAAAACATAATGATAATTAAATTCATGTCATATTATTGTACTATTATTGTTATTATTTTATTTTATCAAAATTTATTTATTTTTTTTTTCGATTAATATTTTTGTGAATTTAATTATTTTTGAAGATTTATTTATAATCATGATTTTAATTTTTTTTTCAAAAGTCATTTATTTTTCACTATGGATCGAATTCTTATTTTCCGAACTCACGCTCAAATCAAAGAATATTTTTCACAATTTATTTTCACCGAATTGTCAATTCTTGGTTCAAATATTTGAAAATTTTAATTTATTATTTTTATTTTAAGTTTGTCACAATTTTCACTTTATTATATATTTTTCAAACTTTGTTCCTCGAAAATCAAGGTGATTTTCTTGCCGAACCAGTTGTGCGCCATTTATAACGTGTATTTTTATTAATTTATGTATTTGATTGAATTTACTGAAATTTTTAATGTTAATTAATTAATTTAAATGTGGATTTGAGTAAAATACCCGTTATATTTGGTTTATTTTAATTTAATGCCCGATACGCCAGGTTATTTTGTGGAAAATAACCAAACCATTTATTTAATGAATTTAATATGCTAGCCCAGCTGTTATCAAGGAGAGCGGGTGGGTAAGGAAAATCACCAATATCATTTTTAAACCACACTTTAATTATAATATGAAACAGGTCCAGAAGGGACCTGTGAAAAAACAGAAATTTAGTTATAATTTGAAAACAGGTCCGGATGGGACCTGTGAAAACACACAAATTTTCGTAGAACAGAGTTTTTTATTATTTAACCTTTTAGGCGATCAAATCGGCCGAAAGTTCACTTTTAATGGACGAGAGACTCACCGGAGATACGCCGACGTCCTCGCAACAGTCCGCGTCTCATTTCTCTCCTTAAAATGTGTTAAATTCACTTGACACCAAAAATTAGAATATACTACTGTCGAACGCCAAAACGTGAATGATTAAAAATGGCTGTTTGTCCGCGTCAACGCGTCCGTTCGTCGCGCTTCGTCTCCATGGTGAGTCTCGCCCGAGTTACAAAAGATTCACAATTGGTAATCGATACGCGTCAGATGGTAACTTCATTAATTATCGACGGTCGAAAGAAAGTTCGATAAATCACCGATAGGGGCGCTGCACAATAACATGTGTCTGGAAGATGGCGATGACCAGTGTTTTGACAGGTCTCTGTTATTGAAAAGTGAATCTTCGTTTTCCTGGCAATGTTGAATAATTGGGACTCACATCCAATTATATATGCCAGAAAATTCTTCCCTTAATGTCTTCCTTCAAGGATGTTTAAGTTGATGATCGACCCGAGAATTGTAAAATCGGGGACTGAACCCCGAGTGTCATTTTATGTAAAGTAAAGAAAAGTAAAGTGTTAGTTTAACTCTTAGTTTATTCTGATCGGTGAACAATAATCTGACGGTTCGCCCATTAGCGAAATTATGAAATTTTATGTAAATAAAGGTAAAGTAAAAGTGATAGAATTGAAAGTGAAATTAAGTGTGATTCCCGCTCTGGCGTTAATTTGACGTTAAATTAATCATGTTTATTTATTTTGAACGCAGGCAATAAAATTCCGCGTTACAATACATATTACAAAAAATACCAATACAAATACCTTTTCAGTATTCCAAAGAAATGTACGTATAACGGACAATTTTCAAATGTACGCAAGCAGATTGAAATCAACAGTCGGTGAAGAAATCGAAGTTTGGAAGTTCACAAGTAAGTGAAAAATGAAAAATTTAACACTTTTTAAATCACTTTCCCACTTTTCGTACTTATCTACTAGAAGTCTCTATTTGATATTTTTATTAAGTTTTATTACTGTTTGGCTACTTTTTTCAGCATTGTTTTACTAAAAGCATTTTTTAATCTTAGGACTTGCTTTTTTCGAAATTCCTAAAGTTTATTTTTTATTATTATACAAACCCAAGTAGCACAGAATATTGTTTGAATGTCACGGTGATATGAAGCTAGAATATTCCTATGACATTCGTATGATACTTAAGAAATATTTTATTTTTTAAATGTTTAATTCTTTTTGATTCTAAATTTTAGAATTAATGGTTGCTTTGCAGTCCCGCATTTATACAGACCACGAGCGTATTGTAGGTGGTCAATTAGAAAAAGGATTCCAATCATCCAAAATTTATTTAAAAACGAAATTGAATGAATTGAAAACCTATTGGGCTAATTTAGCTGATGAAAAAATCACAATTTTAGAATTTTTACAATTGATGAGTTTTAATACAATTGAAAAAAGGATTTAATTCTTTAAATTTTATTGTCGAAGAGAAGAAATTGAAAATTTTAGAGAGCAAGAAGAAGAAGGAGGAGGAGGAGAAGAAGGAGAAGTATAAGAAATTGTTAAAATTGAAAATGCACTTGAAGAAGGTTAGTATTTTTCGTAAATCGTACACCCCAAGTCGAATGTAAGTATAAGTGAAAATATTTTAGAAGTTACGTAAATTAAGTGTTTTGTTTAAAATGTACTTAATTTGTGAGATTTTTTCGGAAATTATTAATGTTTATGAGCAGTACAGAATGTACGTATCTCGTATACTCCGGATTAACACTACTTAAGTTTGATGTTACGTTTAAAAGTTGCCTGTGTCAGTTTACATGTTTTTTCAGCAAACGAAATACAACATTAAAACGTTATTAAATATAGAAACATTTTATCAAAAATGGAAGTGATGTAATTGAGAGATTAATGAATATCTTATTCTTATTTGTATTTTTTTCGAAACTAAAAAAAGTAGACTTAAGTGATTTTAAAAAGTTACCTCAAACATAAGTAGTGTTGGTTTGGAGTATGCGAGATACGTATATTCTGTACTGTTCATAAAAGTTAGTTAACTAACAAAAAAAATTTCATTTATACCTACTTTCCACTTGGGGTGAATGAAATGTGTATTTTGCCAATTGGGGCGTTCCATAACATGGAGCACTAACGAAAAATACACTACCGTCGGAAAATTTCGGTACGGCTGACGTGCGAAGAGTAGAAATTTATTGCTGACTTTAAAGCAAGATATTTTAAGTTAGAAAAAAGTTATAGACTTCTCATTTAGATTGTTGGAAAGCTGATAAAATTTTGCGTCTGAATGTATATCGAGAAAATTCATTACTTTTTTTTATATTTATAACACTGAAAAGATTTCAAAAAAAATTATGCAATTTTCCTACTTTCGTACTATATGTTTATTACTCTCCCTACATACAGTAGGGTTCGAGACTCCAAAAATACATCATAACTTAACCTAATACAAACAAATCCTTAACCTAATAACTTAACCTATACGCAACTCTTAAAATTAACTTAATCCAACTATCCGCCAGTGCCAGGGCTTCCGTTTCCCGTTCCTTTCGCCCATATTGGCTTCGTCCCCATTAGCGCCCACCCCTTACAATATTCACTTTCATTCTTTTCCGTATTGTTTTCTTCCATTCACACTATCATTCACGCTAACCCCTCCCTTTTGTCCTTCCTTATCCTTTCCAACTCACTCATCCACCTTTCCCCTTGCCCATTCTCATCCAATATCCACCTCACCCTTTCATCCACTCCCTTTCCCTCATCCTTCCGTCCCACACAACCATCCAACACATGACCCCATTCTTCCCGCTCATAGCCACACACTCTACACTCCTTTCTCTCTTCATCCATCCAATATTTACATTCCCTCATTCCTTCACCCATTCTAAATCTGCATACTCTATTCCACTTTCCACATTTTCTCACCTTCTCTAAATATTCTGGTCTCCCATCCCCCCTTACCATCTTATACCATCTATTATACTTCGATCCTAATATCCTCTCCCACCTCTCCTCTCTGTCTTTTCTTATCCACCCCTTTACCTCCTCTTTCTTTCTTCCACCCCACTCTCTTCCCTCCTCCAATGCTTCTTCTCTATCCCTTTCCCATCTTGACATCTTTTTAACCCCTCTTCCCTCCCCCGTTTTAATTTTCTTCCAACATTCCCTTGCGATCGCGCTTCCCCTCCCTTGTTTAAATTTCTCTTCTATTCCCATCGCCCTCATCCTCTGCCTAGTACTTAACTTATCCCTACCCAATTCCTCCCTTAACATATAACCCGGACAATTCCAGTCTACCCCCATGGTCCATCTTAAATACCTCTCATGCATACTCTCAAGCTTTCCTCTCTCCTTCCATCCCCATATTTCCACACCATAACTCATTACCGACCACACCAACACATCAAACAGCCACACTCTTCTTTTCCAGTCATCCTTAAATCTTCTTTCACCAATTCCCCACACCTGTCCAATCACTCTTCCTGCCCTTTCCATTCTTCTCCTTACATTCAGTTCATGCCCCCCATTTTTCTGAAACCAATACCCTAAATAGCAGAACTCATCCACCTCTTCCACTCTCTTCCCATTCATCATCCATTCTTCCTCATCCTTTCCTTTTCTCTTCCTAAAAATCATCACCTTCGTTTTCTCTTTATTCACATTCAAGTCTATCTCTCTCACATACCTTTCAAACTCTTTCAATAACAATTTCATACCACTTTCATTATCAGCCAAGAGCACTACATCATCCGCATACGCTAACGTATAAATTCTTCCCTTACCCAGAATCACACCACCCTTTCCTCTTTTTGCCATTCTCTCTTCTAAATCAGCCATCAACAAATTAAATAAGATAGGACTCAGAGGGCAACCTTGTCTTAACCCTCTTCCCAACCAGAATACCTCACCTAATTCTTCCCCTATCCTTACTCTCTCCCTCGTGTCCTCGTACAATTCCTTTACCCTTTCTATTAATTCTTGGTTGATTCCTCTTTCCCTCATCACCCTCCATAACACTCCCCTGTTCACCGAAGGAAAAGCCGCCTTAAAATCAACGAACACCGTAACCAATTTTCCTTTTTCCCTTCCCAAATTCCTATTCACTAAATAATTTAGCACATAAATATTGTCCAGCGTGCCCATCCCTTTCCTGAAACCCGTTTGGTTATCCGGAATACACTTTAGCTCTTCCACCTTCTCCTCCAGCCTTCTCCTTATCACCTCCGCGTACACTTTGTACCCCACTGGCATCAGCGTCACTCCCCTATGATCTTCCACCTTTCTCCCCTCTCCTTTTTTCACTATGGGAACAATTAGTCCCGTCCTCCATTCCTCCGGATAACCATCTAAACTAGAAGTCTCTAACTTTTTTCTAACTTAAAATATCTCGTTTTAAAATCATCAGCAAGTTTTTACTCCTCGCACGTCAGCCGTACCGACAATTGTCTGTTGGTAGTGTAGGTTTTGTTTTTAATTGGTGATTTTGTTGTGTTTGGGGTGTAAAATTCAAGAATTTTTATTTTTCAAACTATTTATTGAAGAAATAAACTTTGTAATTAAAAAATTATAGGGAAAACATTGAAATTTGATAGCCTTTCGGCTGATGATGAAATGTTTAAAATAAAAATAAGCAATATTGTTAAAATTATTACAAAAGAAGACATAAATAGTGATGAACATTTATAATTTTCAAGTTATAATTGGTGTATATTGGTGACTTGAGTAATCTGTTGGCACTGCTGAGCAAACTGCGCCAATAGGGTGTTGCAGTAAAAATTTAAAAAAAAAAAAAAGAAATTCTTGAAAATTTTTTTTTGATTAGACACTTGTTTTCTCCAATCAATAGTTTGAAAGATAAAAATTCTTTATAAAAAGTGACAAAATTGTTTCATTACTAATATCTTGCAAATTATTAAAAATTTTGCCAATCATTTTGGAATACTTACTTTGCACCCCAAACACAACAAAATCACGAATTATCACAAAATTTTTTAGCGAAAATGTGAATTTTTGATTTTTTAACTTTCATTAATATTTTAAATTTACCTTAAATGTATACTTTATATATATCGATCGATTCGTCTTGACGTAAGGAAAACGATTTTATTATATATAACCTCAAATTTTTCTATTTAAAAATTTTTTTAATTAAAAAAAAATTTTTGGAAAAAAGATGATAAAATTTTTTTTTGGGGTATTTTTCAAAATCCTTTGGTCAGATTTGAGATATTAATATGATAAATGAGCCTACCAAATTTTATCTAAATCCATTAAAACCTGTTAAAGTTATCTTCTAAACAAAAAAGGGATCCACACACACACACACATACATCCGGACCATTGATCGGGATCTCATATAACATGTTTCTATAAAGAAAAAAATTTGTTTCCGCCACTTTGAAAAGTTTTATAAACGAAAGGACTACAAAGAAGCAAAAAAATATTGGAATTTACTAAGAATGAATAAATTTATCATTATAAATTTATATTATTATTTAAAGATGTGAAATAATATATAAAATATGATTTTCAAGTGCACCTGTCAAATAACCTAATTTTGCGATATTCATTCATTAATTATACAAAATAGTAAACATTAAATTAAATAAAAACTTACCAAATATGAAGTTCTTGCCATAAACTTTTATAATTTCTTTGCACTTTTCTTCTCTTTTCTTCATAAGTATAAAAAATTTTAATAAAAATAATTTTTTTTCTTTTTATGGTAAATTCTGTATTTTTTATTTGTATATTTTCTAGTGGCTAAAAAGTTGACAGTTTTCAGCACCTCATATACTTTAAATTTATATTTTACAATAAATAATTAAATTTTTAATAAAATCCTTTTCATTTCGTGTTTTTGATAACTTCAAAATCATTCCTGCAAAGGAAAATTAAAATGAAAAATATTTATTTCAAACTTACGTCAAAAGGTTGAACATCCTTAAATTTGTTATAGGAATTTACATCGTGCAAGTGCGACCCGAAAATATAAATATTGCCTAACCGGAAAATATGAACCAAGGAGCAGAAAATTTAAGAACTGGAAGTCCCATATGCTGCGTTTGTAAAGTAAATCAATCGACACACACTTTCGTCCCCTGTGGACATGTTTGTGTGTGTGATGACTGTAAAACAGATTATGAAGAAAACAATATAGAAAACCGTAGTCTTCAAGTATGCCCCTTGTGCAAGATAGAGTACATGATGATTATGAGAATATATTAAATTACACAGCCCCACAAAAAAAAAAGTGTCGTGCGCGGCAGACCAGACTAGTCATTTCCCATGTATTTTGACGCGCTGAACACGAATCCGAAGTCCGTTTTGCTCCATCACGTCAGGATTATTTTCTAACCTCCTAAATCCTGTCGGATTTTGAGAGGTAGGCTTTTTTTTAAAAAATTGATGGATTTACTTCAAAATTGGTATCTAGGGGTTTTTTGGGTCGCTGATGACGAATTTGAAGTTACGATTTTCAAAATTTAAAATGGCGGCTCCAATATGGCGGACGAATTTTGTAAAAATTGATGGATTTACTAAAAACTTGGTATCTAGGGGTTTTTTGGGTCGCTGATTACGAATCTAAAGTTAGATTTTCAAAATTTAAAATGGCGGCTCCAATATGGCGGACGATATCGACCCTTCAAAGGTGATAATTCCGCCCTTACACACGAAACTAGGAGCAATTAAACTGTTTGTCAAAGCCTTAGATAAGAAAGGAAACTATTTCAAATACCTGGAACAAAAGTTTCCAGAAATCTCTGATGCGAAACTAAAAGAAGGGGTTTTCGACGGACCACGTATTCGCAAATTGTTAAAAGATGAGCAATTTATCACCAAGATGAATAAAAAGGAGAAAGCCGCATGGCTTAGTTTCAAAGCAGTTGTCGGAAATTTTCTGGGTAATCACAAGAGTGAAAATTGGGAGCAAATAGTTAGTGAAATGATTAAAAACTTTGGTAAGTTAGGATGCTTAATGAGCATAAAGTTGCATTACTTAGACTCGCATCGGGATCAATTCCCTGAAAATTTGGGAGATTACAGTGAAGAACAAGGAAAACGATTCCATCAAGATCTGAAAGAATTTGAGCGTCGTTATCAAGGAAGATGGGATGTAAATATGATGGCCGACTACTGTTGGATGCTGAAAAGGGATATTGTACCTGAAGGCACCAATTTGAAAAGAAAACCATTACACAGATCCTTTGAGGACAAAAGAGTGCGCTACCATAAAAAGACGTGAATACCTTACTTATGTATATAAGAATTTCCATTTCTAGTTTTGAAAATCTAACTTCAGATTCGTAATCAGCGACCCAAAAAACCCCTAGATACCAATTTTGAAGTACATCCATCAATTTTTAAAAAAAATTGCCTACCTCTCAAAATCCGACAGGTTTTTGGAGGTTAGAAAAAAATCCTGACGTGATGGAGCAAAACGGACTTCGGATTCGTGTTCAGCGCGTCAAAATACATGGGAAATGACTAGTCTGGTCTGCCGCGCACGACACTTTTTTTTTGTGGGGCTGTGTTATTAATGATCTGGACTTAAAAATAAAAACGAATTTTTATTTTATGATCGTTTCTATTTTAATAAATTATTATTGTTGTAATTCACTCTTGAAAAAAAGATTCTTCTTCTCGATCTTGATTATTGAATAAATTAGTTTAATTTCTCTATTTCTTACTGATATGTAATAAACCATTAACATTTATCTCGACCAACAATTAAAAACGAATTTTTATTCTTTATTTAGGGATTTATTTTTCTTATTAAAAATTTGCATTTAACTAAATATTCTTTAATATAAATTATTATTGTTGTAATTTACTCGTAAAAATTGCATAAAATAACATCCGTTTTAAATTTTATTGAAAAAAAGATTCTTCTTCTCGATCTTGATTATTGACTAAATTAGTTTAATTTTTTTTGTTTATTACTGATTTACATTAATATTAATTAATGATTAAAAAAATTACAACCATAAATTATCAGTATTAATATTTTAAGTAACTAAATTTTTGAAGAATTGTATTTAAAAGTATTATTGATAGTAAATACAGCAAAAAATTTTAGATACAGATTTTAGAAATATTTAAGTTTTGAGATTTCGAGTTAAGATTTATAAGGAATAATTGAATTTTAGGAAATTACACTTCTTTTAAAGATAAGTTTTATTATTACAATTTTTATATTATTATAAAAAAAAATTTACATTTTTATTAATAAATTTAAAAAAAAATAGTAATTTTTTTTACGCAATAACGTAATTTACAACAATTGACAAAAATAAATAATTTTATCTATAATTTTTTTGTACAAAAATTATTTCATTAAAACAATTTGAATATAAATATGTTTATATTTTTGTTAATAAATTTTTTTCAAATAAATTTGCAAGCACTTAATTTACAACAATTAATAAAAATAAATAACTTTATCTATAATTTTTTTTATAAAAATTATTTAATTAAAAAAATTTTAATATTTAACAATTGTAATACTTAAATTGTTTTTTAGATTTTTAATACAAGGATTTATTTAAAAATAAAAAATAAAGTAATATATTTATTTATTTATTTGAGTACACGGGTTTTAAAAGAACCCTTGAAGTATAAAAATATAAAAGATATAATAAGAAAATTAAGCAAATTAACGCACGAAAGCACTCTCTTGCAACAAATTGTCATTCTTTTGTACGGTGAATAGTAAAATTTTTAAATTTGTTTTGAAGGAAATCAAAGAGATTCCAAAAAAATCTATACATTCACTATATGAATTGGCTTCTCTTATAATTCTATCAAAAATAGAATGTATACCATAATTTGTACGATGGAAGTCAACGACAAATGGTAAATGATATCTTAAATATCTTGAGGGAGCCGAAAAATTGATACACTGTAATACAGCAGGACATTGAATAATGTTATTAATAATTTTAAATAAAAATAAAAAGTCGTTAAACAAAAAACGTGTCTCAATTTTTGGCAATCTCAGCTGTGCACGTAGTAGATCATAATCATGCAGATGATAATCGAAATGTAAATTTAATTGCCTAGCTGCAAAACGCAAAAAACGATTTTGTACACGCTCAAGTCTTAAAACGTAAACGCTGTAATAAGGCGACCAAATTTGTGAAGCAAACATGATGGGTGACATAACAAACGCATAGTAGAGGCACTTTAAACTACTTGGATTTTTAAAATCATGCGAATTCCGTTTAATAAAATGGAGAGCCTCAATAGCC